AATACAGGATTGTTTTTTTATAGAAATTTTCTAACTTTTTGGACAATATGGTCTGATAAAGAGTACATTTAAATACATGTTTAAGCCAAAATTATTTGAAATTTAAATATGACTTCCCTACGGCTTTGAAGACATTTTCAGTTTTTGAAATGTAATGAACTGTGTTCCTTCTAAATATCTCAGGGTAAACTTGTCTGAAATGGCATGTTCCTTAATGACGTTTAGATCTAATTAGATCTTTTTGACAAAATTCCAATTTCTGCCAAACCTTTCTAATGCACCATCCTGGCAAAGTCATTGGAAAAAGAGGGAGACACTTCTGCAGGGGAGTACAGTCTCACTTTTGGACAAACCGATCACCGTTCAGTCAGTTGCTGATGAGCTTCTAGGACTGATTGATGGGGTTCAACTCAACTAGATGCCTTTTTCTCTTGCACTCCATCGCACCTGAAAATATTTCTATGAAACTGCAGATGTTACCACCTATAGAAGCCCTTACATGTTGCCAAGATTAAAGTCAAGAAACTCATTGGACACACAGCAGGTTGCAACAGAATCAAACTTACCTTTTCACATTTCACACATTGCTCTGATTAAACCAAAGCTCAGTCAAACTTTGTTTTCAACCTGATTTCATCCTGGTCTGAACATTACAAAGACTCCGTCTGTGAGCCCCAGATTCTCGCTGCTGCTTTCCAATCCAGAAAGGACCTCTTCCTCACAGAGCTTTGCACATGAAAGAGCCGTCTCCCACTCGTCCAATTAATATAAATTGTGATGTCACACGGCGCACATCTGAAGACTTGCGTCCATGCCTGACTGCTGTCTGTTTCTCGTAATTACCATGTCACACTGGCTGCACAAGGTGTTCAGATAATGTTCCAAAGGGGCTGTTATGAAAAGGCTAAAAATCCAGCCAGGGACGGGGAAATAGTGAGGATTTCATGCCAGTATTTCACACCTCGCTAAGCAGGGAAAAAGGCATTGCTCTGGCGTGATTACAACAGATGGTGACCTGCCTCTAAAACAACCAGAGATGAGAGGAGGCAGAATTAAAATGATGTTTGGATGCACTTCTTTTGAGCATGATTCACCCATCCTTCCACACGCACCCACACATGCACACCTTTTCCTGCATTTTTCTTTTTGAAAACTCTGCTGTCAAATTATCTTTTTCGTCAGCTTGATCAAAATGTCAAGTTCCTCCAAGAGACGTCACTTCAAAAATAGCTTCAAAGTTGAGATTCCTCAAAGCAGCAGCGCCGACACCAAGGTGTTGGAAATGAACTCCACGGTTCTGGTCGATGGAAACCAATAAGGTGACAGGCATTAGCTGAAAGCGCGTTTAAACCTCGGCTTTAATTGCTTCTGAGTGCAACACTGTATAGAGCTTTATAAAGGCATACAGTGGAGATTACGCTGCTAATCTCTTCCGACAACCACATGGATATTGATTATTTAAGGCCAAACCTTTCATCCAGAGGCGCACGATGGAGACGCCTTGGTGCAGGAAATCTAGATTTGCTTTCACTTCGGATTTTTTAAAAGAAAAGAAGTTTGAATACTCTGTAAAACATTTTAATATTAGCAGCATTCGTTCAGGGATTTTAGTAAATACAGCTAACATGTAGCTCTAACAGTACTTTTAAGAAGGCTGTCAATATGAAAGAGTTCAATTCATGTTATCATTACCTATTTTTTTACACTTTAAAAAAGTAGAATATTTAAACTATATTAGGGGTGTGATTGATTGATCGATCCATTGACTTTATTGATCCCACAGTGGAGAAATTGTCTCGTTACATCAGCTCATATAGTCAAAAGACGCGAATGTGCCAAAGGAAGATAAATGTGCATCGGATATATACAGCAGGGCTTGATGTTAACCATCGCCCGATCGCCCGGGGCAAGTGGTTTTTATTGTCGGGAGAGTACAAATTTCATTGCATTTGCCCGCAATGATCAAGTGCAATGATCGCAAAAAAAAATATTTATCATTAAAAATGACTTTAAAATCACCGACATTCGCTGAAAACGACCCACAAGCGTTGCCGGCTGCATTTTTGTTGTTTTGTACACATTCTCGCGTGATTTCAAAAAGCTGCGTAATTTTCCGCCAGATGGCGTGATTTTTGTCCGAGGATTTTTGTCCGGCGCGAATCAGACACAATTTTTTCAACTTGGCAGGCTAAAAAACAACAACAAGGCTATTTTACCCTGCACCCATTTCACCCACCACCCAGATAATCCTTGATTAAAAATTATTTGTCAGGGATTAGGAAAATTGGCATAATTGTATGCCATGCGCACAGTGTAAATATGGCTATCATATGGCGGTCTTCTGTACAGTGATGCAGGTCATACATTAAAAAATGTTCATTCAATTTTTTTGTCTTAAACATTGGAGGGGTGCATTTAAATGTTATAGAGCTAAACATGTTAAATTGATGACCTGTTATGTTATTATTATCGTCTTGTTGCTGCATTTATTTTGTCAGGGAAAACTAATCCTGAGTCAGTTAAAGTCAGGGAATTATTAAATTATTATATTATTACCCTGTATAAAATAACTATGTATAATGATTCTCTGGAAAACTCACATTATGTTAATAGTATTATCTTGTATAAACATACCGTGACTCCAAAATAAAAGTTATTCATTTGTGACATTGACTTCTGTCTTGTGATTTATCTTAAGTTTTTGTTAGATTGTTAGATTTTTAACATTACAATTTATATGTTGTATTTCAAGCATACAACAGTTTAAAGCAAAGTTTGTTTTGAAAAGAATGTGCAGGAAGGATTGAAAAGCATGTTAACACGGTAATGTAGGTTTGCGTTTATTATCTGACGCATGCAGATACACACCAGGAACCTGGAAACTTAAAAAATACTGAATTACAAAAAAACATTTAAAAAACAAACATGTTTCATTGATATATATACAAAAATGAATATTAGGAACTATATTTATCAAACATTATACTGGGCAAGCAAAAATTGTTTCTGGGCAAATGAAATCTTAAAGTCACTTGCCCAAAGGGCAAGTGGTAAAAATCCTTAACGTCAACCCCTGTACAGTATACTGCATGAAGTGCGTCCACATATGACAAGTTATTTATTTATTTATTTTGGATGGCGGCCAAGCTACTTTTTTGTTTGTGATCGATTATAGAGATATATTGTACATGCATCTTGCGTCATATTGACTCATTGTACCATGCATCATTACGATTCATTACAAATTCTAAGGCCCTTACTCATCACTGCATTCTTTAGAATCTAGTAGGTTGGACATCACTAACAATTCGTAGAAAACAGCACTGGTATATCTTTATCTATAAAGCAATACTTGGTAAACTCCCACTGTACCTCTGTAACCTCCTCTCTGTGAGTTCTGGTAGTTATCAGTTGCGCTCCTCTCAGCGGTTACTTTTTAACGTACCCCGAGCTTCAACTGAGTTGGGAAAAACTGCATTCTCCTACTCTGCACCTTGGGGATGGAACAACCTCCAGAAAGAGCTCAAATTAGAAA